GGCTGCCGGCACAAAATGGCTGCCAGCCAAAAGACCTAGGGCAGTGGTTCCCAATCTTTTCGGGCTGCTGGGCACCCGGGGGCGGGGCCACTTACGTGCCGTGCGTCCGGAGGCAGGGCCGCTCACGCGCCGCAAGCTCGGGGCCAGCACTGTGCATGTGCCGCATGCCTGGGGCAGGGGCTGCCCCTTGCGCTATGCGTTCAGGGCCAGCACCACGCATGTGCCACGCGCCCAGGAGCGGGGCCAGCCCAGATTGTTCGGCGGACGCACATAAATGCTCCAATGGGCGCCTTGGAGTCCTTTTGTTGGTCTCCCCCCAACGCACATAAATGCTCCAGTGGGCGCCTTGGAGTCCTTTTGTTGGTCTCCCCCCACCTTTTTTTTCTATCTAAGCTACTGCTAGGGTTGCCAGATGGTTGAAACAAAAATACTGAACCATCCCTCCTCCTCCCCCCTCCCCCCAAAAAATGGGAAAAAATTCTGTTGAAGGGGCAAACCACTCGCAGAGTTCCAGGAAAATGGCCTTCCCATAGCTGCAGGACAATCTCCCTCCGCCAGAAGTGGCATTCCACTGTGTCCAGGGGATTGAAGCGTATGCATGGCAGCAGGAGCTCCAGGACCTGGGTGAGCAGGGCCTGCGGGCCACACTGGGATTCGTCCCCTTCATCCTCATCCTGGTCCTGCTGGAGCATTGTGCAGGCAGTCTGGAAGTACTGTCCCATGAGGTGCAGCATGAGGACCATGAGCCTGGCAGTGCTTTCAGCAGCTCTGGTTCCATTTTGGCAGTGCTGTGGTATCCATGCAAGCAACCTGGGCACGAGAAGGCACATGCCCACTGCGTCCCTTTTCTGTCTTGTGAGGGGGGAGGTACTAGAGGAGTGGCTTGTGAGACATGGCCATACAGAGGAGAAAGCACACATCTCAGCTTGCTAGACCAAGTGGCCACAGGAAGTATATACTCCTGGCACCTTCCCAAGAGAGCTTCTGAGGGCTCTAAGTCCAAGGCAGGCTCCCTTCAATGTGGACACACTATTCTGGACTAATTTCAACGCTTCCCCATAATGAGGACATGCCAGTTCGGATCTGTTGAATTGGGAGTTCTTAAGTTGAATTTAATAATTTCAAAATAGCTTCCTAGTGTAGACATGGCCACAGAAACCTGCATCATCAGGACAGAAAAACCTTCCTTTAGTCCCTTATTCCTTGACTTGAGCAAAGCTTGTGACACAGTCTCCCACTGTATTCTTGCCAGCAAGTTAAAGAAGTATGGCTTAGATGAATGGACTATAATATGGACAGAAAGCTGGCTAGATCATCAGGCTCAATGGGTAGTGATTAACGGTTGGCTGCTGGTATCACGTGAAATGCCCCAGGAATTGGACACATCTTCATTAATGACCTGAATGAGGGGATGAACTGCACCCTCAGCACGTTTGCAGATGACACTAAGCTGGGAGGAGGGGTAGATACATTGGAAGGGAGGGACAGGGTGGAGTGACCTAGACAAATTGGAGGTTTGGGCCCAAAGAAATCTCATGAGGTTCAACAAGGAGAAGTGCAAAAGTGCACTTAGAGCAGAAGACTCCCAATCATTGCTAAAGGCTGGGGACCGACTACTAAGCAGCAGTTGTGCAGAATGGGACCTGAGGATTAGAGGGGACAAGAAGCTGGATGTGACTCAACAGTATGCCCTTCTAGCCAAGATGGCTAACAGTATATTGGGGCACATTAGGAGGAGCACTGCCAGCAGATCCAGAGAAGTGATTATTCCCCTTTCTTCAGCACTGGTGAGGCCAAACCCACAGTATTACATCCAGTTCTAGGCCCCCACTACAGAAAGGATGTGGACACATTGGAGAGTGTCCAGCGGAGGGCAACCAAAATGATGAGGGGGCTGGAGCACATGACTGATGAGGAGAGGCTGAGGTTTTGGGCTTGTTTAGTTTGCAGAAGAGAAGAGTCGGGGGGGATTTGACAGAAGCCTTCAGCTTCCTGAAGAGGATGGAGAGAGGCTGTTCTCAGTGGTGGCAGATGGCAGAACAAGGAGAAAAGGTCTCAAGCTGCAGTGGGGGAGATGTAGGTTGGATATTAGGAAAATCTGTTTCACTAGGTGGATGGGGAAGCACTGGAATGGGTTATCCAGAGAGGTGGCGGCATCTCTATCCTTACCGGTATTTTAAATTCCAGCTCGACAAAGCTCCATCTGGGATGATTTAGTTGGGGTTGATTTGAGTAGGGGACTGGACTAGATGACCTCCTGTGGTCTCTTCCAACCCTCATCTTCCATGAGAGTCATTCCATCCAATGAAGATTTAATTTACACGTCTGACTTGGAGACATTTTGAAATTAGGTCTTGAATTAAATCAATCCTTAAACCAGCGAGAGATACTGCTTGTTCTGCTCACTCTCTTCCCACTTGTAACTAGGAATGTAATTTGTTAAACAGCCTGTGGCGGGGGGAGGGGCGCTGACTTGGAGACATTTTGAAATTAGGTCTTGAATTAAATCAATCCTTAAACCAGCGAGAGATACTGCTTGTTCTGCTCACTCTCTTCCCACTTGTAACTAGGAATGTAATTTGTTAAACAGCCTGTGGCAGGGGAAGGGCTGTTCCAGCCTGGCCAGGCTGCCGATTAACCAGTTCAGGGTAAGCATCACCTGGTAAAGTTAACTGGTGACATTCCAACTTGTAACCTCCCCTATGTGAATCACAGAATAGCGCTCTCAGTATGACAAAAACAACCAATGCAGAGGACAGGTGTTTGGACCTGAGTCTGCTGCCCTCATGTGTCAATGAAGCCAACAGAAGACACGGGCCTAGTCTGCATGGAGGATCTGCTCTCACCATTCCAGAGCAAACCCCTCTTACATAAATACACAAAGGCAATATAAGGCCCAGTTTCACAAAGAAGTCTGCCTCTACTTCCAACCAGGGTTAAGCTGCAACAGTGCAAACTGTAGCTGTGCCTGTCTACATGGGACGGTCACACTAGAGTAGCTATACAGGTGACTGGCCACCCACAGCCAAAATCCCCACATCAGCAAGGTCACATAGACTAAAGGATCAGACCCTTCCCATAACGGAGATGAGAGTTTTATTCTTTCTACAGAAGCCCCATGAAATCAGATTCTACTGAGGATTCTCCAGCAGGGTAAGATGTGTCACTTGAGGACTGTGAGTTGTGTATTCGACAGGAGCAAAACCGCAACCTAAAGAAGGGACATTCCGACAGCTCCACTGTGCTCCTACCTTGGGGTTGTCCTCTCTCTCGCAGGCAATATGCAAAGGAGTCCTCCCACCTTCCTCTGGGACGAGACGAGAAGATGAGTAGTATTCTGTAGGCGGTCCAGTTTCGTTATTAAGTTTCATGGCAATAATAACTGGTGATTCAGCAGGCTCATCCTGAATTTAAAAAAAAAAACAGACAGACACTTTCAGTATTGCTTAGAGATAATCTAACAGAAAACAAATCTGTGCAGGAATCCTCAGGTCCGTTCTGGATTTGCTCATTACACCACAGTAGACACAGTATAAGCAATCCCCACCTTTCCCATTTCTTTCATTAGATTCCAGTTCCACCTGCTGGACGGCTTGCACTACTGCAGCCTCAAAACCCTTAACATGAAGCCACTGTAGGTCAACAGCATTTCGACAGCTTTTATTCTGACATCTACACACCCTCATACACAGAGAGGGGTTCCTCATCCCCATTCCTTTATTTTTACTGTAAGGGCAGACATGGAGAGGCAGGAAGGGGAGGAAACCAATTCTCTAATGTGCTCTTCTTTGTTTTAGCACTGGAATGCTCCTGCCTAAGAGAGATTGTTCAGGGTTCTCCTTGAGCTTAAGGGTTTCTAAAAATGCACACTGTGTTGGCCTCTGTCCTGCAAAAGTTGAAAAAAATACCTCCCAACTCCAAATGAACAAAACGGCCAGCTGGTATTGTGAACTCACAGACTGTAGCTGCTGCATTGCTCTGCAAAGGGCTACCGGTAGACCCACTGAGGTGTCAGGGAAATCTGGTGACTGTGAAGCACACAAAGGAAGGGTGGGGGGAATTCAGGCTTTGCATGCAGGTTGGATGGTTTGCTCGCAGAACAGGATAGACCACTCTTGTGCACTGCAGAGAGAAGCCAGTGAAAGGCATGACAGGATGGCAGGCTGAGGTAGCCTGCACTGATACACCCGCATGGTGGCAGTTTGTCCACTGACAAAGATATGAGCAAGTTCACTTGCTGCATTGCTGAGAACCAGAGCAAGGTGTGCTGGTGTGGTAGGCCAGTGGTAGGCCAGTGAGACGCAAATTCTGGAGGAGTTGAAGGGAGTTAAAGGGATGGATAATCAGCACACAGGGTTCTCAGACTGACCTAACAGAAAGATTCCCAAATAGTGGAACTTAAAATAAATTTAATGTCTCAACAGTTGGAGAATGAAACCCACACACACATAAGTGAAAGCATTCTGCTACGGACAGCTGCACATCCTAGGCCTTGTCTGCACTAGAAAAGCTTTGCCAGTAAGCTTCCAAGTGGTTGTGTAGCTCAAACCAGCAAAAGAGTGCTGCTGCTGGCTTAGTTTAGAATGTCTGGCACTCCGACCCACTCCCCACCCACGGGGCCAGAGCACACAAAATTTACTAGCCTGGTCCCCCCAGGCTATGGTGTGGGAGGGAAATGTGGGGAGAGTCTTTCTCCTTGTCAGTCAGGGGCCACATCAGTAAGGGGTTGTGGTGTTTGGGGGAGGGGTTGTTTCTCACTTGAGTGTGGCCCCTGACTGATTTTTCTGTGGGACAGCAGCCCCTGACCCAAAAAAGGTTCCCCACTCCTGGATTATAGGCTCAATACTGCAGTTGTACTTCACCAACATCTATTCAGTTGTGCGTAGCAGGCTGCTAGCTTGTGTCTAATATGCATCAGCATGCTGCAAACATATAAGGTACCCCAAATCATAAGTAAGTGTTGTGTATGTCAGTGATATGCCAGGTTTTTTCAGAGGCAGTGCAATTATTCCAACAGTGCACAGAAATGTTACTTTGAATCCAACAGGCAGGCAGCCAATTCCCTGCTCATGTCTTCCACAGCCCACACCTAAACAGTTGGAAGAGAATGGGGTAATGATGCAGCGTACCCAGTCTGGTGCATACACCTCATCTTCATCTTCTGCCTTTGCATCAGGCTCTGCAGCTGAATGAAGGATTAATTCTGTTATCTTGACTCCTTCTTCACCAGGAATGGCTACAGCAATATGAAGAGGCATTAAACCTCCCAGCTGAAAAATAAATGTGGCATTAAGACTCTTTGGTTTATCATAAGTAACTTCTAAAAACTAAACCCTCAGGCTCTATTTTCAGAAATAAAGGACTGTGTTTATGATCAGTTTAAATGCAATTTCACTTACTCCCTGCTGTCCATCTCATCCTAAACCTACTGTGATCGGAATATTCCTGGTGTGACAGACAGCTGCACAGGCACTACATAGCCAAAACAAAATATGAATACCAACTAGTGAGGGAAATTGGTACTCAATTTTGAAGCTTAATTTTACTTTGTTTGGCTTCTGAATTCCGAGACAGTCTGTTGGGCTGCTGCTTCTCCAAGCCCATGAGGTGCAAAAGGAATAAAGGGAAGACAGCTTTCACTAGAACCATGGCAGAGAGGTAACCAAGCTCTGAGCTGTAGCTAAAGCAGAGGTAGGTTTCAACACTGGATATGATGATACTGACCTCCTATGTAAAGCACTTTGAAACCTACCAGCAGAGCCCTCTATAAAAGAGTTAGGTATTAATACTACATTATCATCCACAGCCATCAAACCAAGCAAAATTAAGCTCTAAAACTGACAGCTAAAGTACTAGGAGGCAAACCAGGATACTCTGCAGCAAAATGTATATTTGAGATGAAGATGTCCAGATGTAGCCCTTCAAGCTAACAAACCAAAATCAACTGTAGCTAGCAAGCTACAGTCAGAAAGTACCAGGGAGCAGACATATTTCAGTGCAGAAGCTAGCATGAGATGCCATATGCTAAAACAGTTGGTATGTAACTTTGATCCTGGGGAGTTCCCACCATGCTCATATGAGGGCATGTTAACCAATTGCCGAGAATTTGGGGCAACAGAATATTAAGAGAACAGACTACAGCCGTAAAGAGAAAATAAAACTAAAACCAGAACAATAAATTTTGGAAAATAAAACTGACTTTTGAAGTAGTCTGAGCTTTAGTATCATGGATAAGCATCATGTCAGCAGGGAAATACACACATAGAATTAGACCTCTGCTAGAGTACGTTTTTTTTTTTTTAAAGATAAATTTTTTAAATAAGATAGATTCTTTAAATTACTCCTTTGGGATTGCAAAGCTGAATCAGTCAAACTGTCATAAGAATTGACGCTTTACTCATAGACATGAAATTGTATTACTGATCACCCTAGAATATTGCATTTGGTTGTTATTAGTAATTATTATCCGTTACCCTCGATGGAAGTCGTATGTCAGTCCTTGCTCCTGATGATAACATTAGTTTCACTGCTCCTACATCTGCAGCTTTAACAGCAAAGAAGAGGACATGCAGAGGGATCTGGCAAACATTGGGGTCTGCACCTCGGCGGAGAAGGAGTTTGACCGTGGTCCATCTCTTTTGGTATCTAAATCAACATGGCAAATAGCAGAATAAGCTGTCAATAACTCAGAAAAAAGCACTAAGGGACATATTTCTGAACACAGGTTCCTAAGGTGAGTCAGGCTAATGGGCTGTATAATTGTGGTGTAGACATTTAGGTTTGTGATGATGCCTGGGCATTAGGACCCTGAGAAGCGGGTGTGCAAACTGGCATGTAGATCCAGGGAGAGAAAGCCTGCTGAGCATGAGGTGCACAGCACAGCAATGTGATGCCATGAAGAGGCTGCGGTGGGGTCATCAGCCTCTTTCAGCACCACTGAATCGCTGGGGGCACTAGCAGGGAGCAGGAGAGCCCACAGACGACACATGACAATGACAGTAATACTCAGTATGGCACAGACTAGTTTTGCATAATACAGAAGTGTTTTTATGAAGTTAACAGGGAATTACTGTTCCTAACGTACAATACAGGATTTTAAAAATAAGTCTGGTTAGCACACACATGGGCACACACACATGTGTGAGTGCACATAGAGAGTATACATGTCATGCGGGGTCACGAAAAAAGGGCAGAATAGTTGGCCACCTTAATAAAAAGTTGTTAATGAGTGAAATTCAGGCCTTCTCCCCGTCAGGTAAGGGTCCTTGCAATACCCCTTAACAGGCACACCCTATCCCAGGCAAATGGAGGGTCGTTCTTCCCCACAAACACACAAAATCACATTTGTTACTCTCTCTGGGTATGTCTACACTACAGCGCTAATTCGAACTAACTTAATTCAAATTAGTTAATTCGAACTAAGCTAATTCGAACTAACGCATCTAGACTAAAAAATTAGTTCGAATTAGCGTTTTGCTAATTCGAACTAGCATGTCCACACTGAGTGGACCCTGAACCGGGGTTAAGGATGGCCAGAAGCAGTGCCGGCAGGGCATCAGATTAGGACTTAGAGCGTGGAGCTGCTGCCTCAGGCTAGCCGAGGGCTGTGCTTAAAGGGACCCGACCCCCACCCCGGACAGACAGTTCTCAGGGGTTCCCAGCTTGCAAAGCAGTCCTGGTTTGGAGTGC